GAGTGGGACAGCAGTCTGTACGAGCTCGCCACCAGCTACAGGTTTCACTTCCTGTTGTATTTCCTTGCAGATGTGCTCGAGCAGCTGAACGTCCTGAACAGGGCATTCCAGCAGCGAGAGGTGAGCAGGGTTACTTGCATGGCTGTGTAGAGCGTCTGCTGCACCTCCCCTGAAGTCCTGTTTTTCTTTGATTGGCTTAAGATTGTGCATGTTAATGGATTACTAGTGAATACGGAAACATGATGCCGTGCACTGACTTTGTGTACATACCCTCTGTTGTTCTGTCTCCCTATGTGTCCTTTTTGTCCGCCCCTATTAGCTTGACATTGCAGGTGTACACGCCCAAATCCGAAGATCACTGTCTTACCTCGAGTCCCACTATGTCGACTGTGGTGACGATTTCGGAGGCGGGATGAGCGCGCGCCTATCACCGTTCATCAAGAAGCACGGGCCTGACGGTGGCTCCCCCGAGGTGAAGGTGCAGGGAGTGGACTCGGACGGTCGGCCGACTACTCACACGTTCCAGCTGCACGAGAACCCATGCGAAGACTACCCAACCCTGGGAAGTCACGACGCCTGCATCGATCTCTGCACCACGTTCGCCGAAACGCTCGTGCGAAACCTCACCACCAGGTTCAAAGACCTGGACTCCCTTGTGGGAGTCCAGCTCTTCATGCCAGACGAGTGGGAGCCTGGGAGGGCGGAGCGCCACAAACAGTGTCTCGAGTGGCTCATGTCACTCGTGTCGCTGTTCAGGGCACAGGACATGGACTACATCATTCCAGGTATTCCTTTGCATTTACATGAGGTTTGTTCTTTGCATGTTGCGGGTGTATTGTGCACGGGTGTGCCATACCGTCTAATCCCATCTCTCTCTCTCCCTCCTGTCTATCTGGCAGGGATCGACAAGCGGCGGGCGATCAAGGAACTGCGTACCTTCTGCCCCATCCTCGCAGGTGCCCCGAAGAATGAGCGCAGCTTCCACGCCGGGCTAACAGCGATGCTGAAAACAAGCGACTGGGCAACGAGCTACCCCAACCTGGTGCGTCTCTGGGTGGCTGTCGCCGTGCTGCCACTGAGCACAGTGGAGTGTGAGCGCGGGTTTTCGCGCCAGAATCTTATCAAATCGTGGCAGCGGGGCAACCTCAAAGACGCCCGCCTTGAAGACCTCATCACGCTGTCTCTACTCAAGTACGAGCCAGACTATGATGAAGTGGTGCAGATATGGCGCGGCTACAGGAAACGCCGCCCATTTGGCAATGTGGCAGCACCACCAGCAAGAGAGGGAGAGTGCAGTGGCAAGGGAAAGGAGGCAGATGAGGACTGGGAAGAACCAGAGGCCCAGGGCTGTGCCAGTGAGGATGATGATTAAAACCCTCTCTTGCTGATGCTACCGTAGCTATCTAGCATATTTTAGTTTTAGATAGAAGGCTGCTTGCTTGCTAGTGTTAATGATTAAAGACCTCTAATAATAACAACAGCGTTTGAAAAAAGGGAACACTAATGCATCATACTTTTTTTTTAGTAACACTGTAACTTTCAGGCTTTTTTTTTGGACACTGTCGATCAGGGATTCTACGCAGAGGGACCCTGATGCCAGTGCCTATGTTTGGTTTTTGGCTACTCACGATTAGCAGTGTAGCCTTTTTCAAAACCCTTCTGATCAGTGTGTAATTTTTCGTTACACTGATACATCAGTGTAACATTGAGTTTCGAAAAAATTACCCCAGAGCATCAGTGTAGTACCGTATATTTGTGTACCCTTATCGCATAAAACATTTGTAGTAAATTGGGCGCTGGTGGGTGTGGGTTCTGGGGACATCGATTCCCAAATTTGGGACTCGTGTCCCCAAACCCACGTTTTCACCAAGTCAGCAAGCTTCCCGGGGGGGGCGTGGGTTTGGGGACCTCGAGTCCCAAATTTCCGAGTCAAGATAAAGTTTTTGCAGTGAGTGCAGATTTGACCAATCAGGTTGCATCGCCTCTACAGTAGGTTGCAAGCAGGCATGGAGTGACGCGGTGTCGGTTGTCAGTACTCACGTGCTGACGTCGTAGTACATCATTACGAAATTGAGTGTATCGTTACGAAATTTCTAGGAAACTTTGTCTCTCTGAGTAGAGTTTCGAGGGGGGGGGTGCCCTGTACGCCCTTAAGGGTAATCTTCGCTAAGGGAAAATTTACCCCAGAGCATTAGTGTGGCCTAAATCGTTTCACTGTCAAATCAGTGTAACACTAATTTTCAAAAAAAATACCCAAACACATCAGTGTAGGCCCTAAATTTCACCCTTCTCATCAGTATAGCAGTGTGATTTACACTGATAAAATAGGCCCTGCCTGATGCACGGTACGTGCTTAAAAGTGAATCTGAGAGACTGGCCTGCAATTACGTGCTGAAATAAAGAGGCTGCTTCTTGATTGAAGTGTGTGTTCGGTAGGTAGGACCAGGGCTCTCGTTATCAGGGTAAAATACCCTTTTTGCACTGACTGGCGGCCGCTTTTTTTCAGTTACCCTTTCCCAGGCAGGTTAGTGGGATTTTTACCCTAGGCCATTAAGTGTAATATTTTTTTTACCCTCTGAAATACAGCGTGCCTCAAAAATTTCCCTAACTGTACAGGGTACTTTTCCAGTTACACTGATACGGATTTCTTGCAAGCGAGGATTTCAAACCTTAACAGAATGCGAAACGGACAACAAGACCAACACTCACAAAAAACAATATCACCCCCAGGTGGAGTCACGCGAATTTCGGGGCGTCGTGCCGCGAAAGTACCACATTGGTGGAACTGGCAGCCACCGTGCCAGCGCAACACGGAATCAAGGCCAGAGCAGCATTTGACAGCTGCCAGACTTGTTTAGCAGCGCGCCGACAGGACAGCGGGGCATGCCATCGTCCTTTCGTGCTGAACAGGGCACCTCCTGGCAGCCACAACTGACCACCGTGAGCCATGCAATTACGCGCTCCGGGGTCATCACGGGTGTTGGAGGAGGGGGTCGTTATCCCAAGAACACCCCATCTTTCTCATCCTTCTCATACCCTCGGTGTGAGAACCACCTCCTGGGAGGTCTCTCACATGTGATAGTCATGCCTGTTGAGCAAACTCCTCAATCTCCCGCGGTAGTGCGTAATGGCCTTTCTGTGCTGGGAGTTATTCCTCTCCCTGCTGAGACCTACAGCGTGCCCATCTCGCCGTTGCCACCACCCGCTTCTCCCGTGCGTAGTGTGGGTATTGTATACCCGTTCGAGCCGCCGTCGACTCCTGCTGACTGGGAGCCGCACCCGTCAATTGTTCTCGTGCCAGGCGGTGGTGAAGGGTCGTCTAGACCCTCCGCGGGTTCACCGTCCACTGTGAACAGCACCCCGGGGAAACGCCCGCGTTTGGGAGCGAAGTACACGCAGCAGCGGCTATGGGGAGCCCCGCCACCCCGAAAAGAAGCTTCACCGTAACGTCCAGTAGCGACCCAAGACGAGGCGCCCGCTAAAACTACCGGTGACGTTCTCTATGAGACCATAAAGCATCGCTTTGAGTCGGAGTGGAAAGGTAAATTCAAGTGGTTGCGTCTTATTCGGATGCCTAACGGAGAAGCAAAACTCAAGTGTGACATCTGTGTGCAGCATGGCGACCCCGCAGCTCACACTAGCTACGGTGTGAGAGGTGAAGGTGGCCGCGACCTGCAGATAGGAAGCGTCCGGGCCCATTCCTCAACACGAGCCCACAAGAGCGCAGTCAAGAACCAAGAAGAAGCTGTAACTGAGAAGGAGAAACAGGCGAAACTAAATCGGTGGCAGACAACTGACGCGTCTACGCGTCACATCATTCGCGTGCTTCATATTGCGCTTTTTATCTGCAGGGCGGATGCACCCGTCTCGATGTTCATCCCGCTCTGCTGGTTCTTGGCAAAGGAAGGCCTTCCAGACCTTTCGAACGGTGGCGGATATGGCGCCTACTACACTGAGTAAGCGCATGTTTTTTAACGGTAGCCACGGGTGATATTCACATATACTGATGTTGTTATCTGTTGTTATGTGCAGATATGGATTCAGAGAGAATCTCCGGGCCATCTCCACGTACCTACAAGAACTGCAACGATCGCACTTGCTGGAGTCGCCTTGGATTGGCTTGTCACTGGACGAGAGCACAGACCGAATCCACGGCAAACATCTAATCGTTTACGCTACTTTTTTCCGTGGCACGGGTGTGGTCAACGAGTTCATAACGCTCATCACTGTTGACCGTGCTGATGCAGCCTCTCTGACCTCTGCTGTGGTGCAGTACCTGACAGGGATTGGCTTGGATCTCCAGAAGATCTCTGCCATTTCAACGGACGGCGCTAGTGTCATGACAGGCAAGAACAACGGGGTTGTCGCCCGTCTGCGCATGAGGATCCCGCACCTCGCCTCCACGCACTGTGTCGCTCATCGGTGAGTGTCTCTCCGTGCAGTCGGTGGGAAAGCGATGCACCATTTTTAACTTCATTACCATAACTCGTACTTTGTTTACTTGGCAGGGAGGCTCTAGCCGCAAGCGATGCCGCGGATGCTGTGCCAGAACTATACATGGTTGACGACATCATCCGTGGCTTTGCATATCTCATCTCGCGATCCAACGTCAAGTACGAGAAGTTTCATAACATTCAGCATGTTTTCTGCAAGACGAACCTGGAGGCACAAGGGATACACACCGTTCACTGGCTGTCACGTGGTGAGGCCGTCCGACGCTTCCTCGAGATCCTGCCTGCAGCCATCGTGGTGCTCAAAGAGTACAACAATGACCTGTACGAGATTGCCACGTCGTTCAAGTTTCAGTGGTTGCTCCGGCTGCTTGCTGACGTGTTGTGGGAGCTGAACCATCTGAACCAACGGTTCCAACAACGGCAAGTAAACGAATCTGAATTTCATAGACTACTTACGCCCAGAAAGGAGTGTCGCTAACCCTGTCTTCTGTGCTGTCTGAACAGATCGACGTCACGCTCATGTCTCATCTCGTGGACCAGACACGAATGCGCATGAAGAACAGGTACTTAAACTTTTCGCCGGATCATCACTTCGGGAGTGGAGAGAAGATGACACTGAACGACTTCATTCAGCGCCATCAGAAGATGGACAAGCGGGAGGTGAAGGCAGAGGGCGTGGACAGTGACGGCAACCCCGTGAAATTCACCTACACGCTGCACGAGAATCCCATCGAAGGGCAGGAGCCGGACGGAGATGTAACGGCTTGTGTCGAGCTGTCGCTGAAGTTTGTGCGTGCTGTCGACAAGGAGCTGGAGTGGCGGATGAAGGACCTGGAGGAGCTGGAGGGGTGTAAGCTATTTCGGTCAGCCTCATACGTACATGACGACGCCAAACGTGTGGAAAACTTCAAAAAATGGCTGGCTAAACTGCACAAGCTCTACAGGAAGAAGCTTCCAGGTATGCTCGTAGACCTCATGGTGTGTACCTGACTGTTGTTTTCCCGTTCCCTTCAGCGTTGTTTTCCCATCTGCTTCTGCTTTATTCTGACGTAACGATCGGCACACTCTCATATCTTCTCGTCTGGTCGCTTGTGTATCTCCTGGATTGTTTTGTTTAATCCTCCCCCTTCCACCCGATTGCTGCGAGTATAGCCCCGTTTAAACCCGTACCCGTACAACAGGATTCGACTACACCAGAGCACAGAGCGAGCTCTGGATGTTCACCTCAACCATGTACTCTCAACACAACAACGAGGACTTTCACCAGGCACTCGGGAACATGCTTCGTGACAACGACTGGCAGCACTCGTTCCCGAACTTGATGAAGATGTGGCAGGCAGTAGCCGTCCTACCGCTGAGCACGGTCGAGTGCGAGAGGGGGTTCAGCAAGCAGAATTTGATCAAGACGTGGGACCGTGGCAGCATTTCGGACATCACCCTGGAGCATTTGATGCGCTGTTCCCTGCTGCAGTATGACGTGGACTGGTACGAGGTGGTGTCCATCTTCAGGGGAGAGAGGCTGCGGAGATCGACTAAGGACTTTAGTGGCACAAACCCGGGCGAGGCTATTTTCGCTGAAGCCGTTGTAGAGTCCTCTGACCCTGTTGGCGAATGAGTAGTAGCTGCAGGTGCTGGAATGTGTGCAAGGGCTTATGTAGCTGGTGCATTGCACATTGTGATTATGTAGTTAATGTAGTGTGAACTCATGGGGTGAAAATAGACTTGCCGGTTAAATCAGTGTAAGGCCAAAATTAGTCTGACGGTTTCAGCGTAACAAAGATTTTACCCTGCCTTCGTCAGGGTAATTTTTTTTTTACCCTAGAGGTCATACTGGTCTACACCTACAACCCTGATTACAGAGTGTGCCCCAAAACGAATCTGAAGCCCTGGGTAGGACCTCACCAGCCAAAGCAGCTACAGTAAATTCTCAAATGTTTGCAAATACCGTAGAAGAATTGTGAAATGCTTAGTCAGTGACTACTAGTCACAATGTTTGCTCACGACGTTACAGCCTCCTAGTGCCACTGCCTCCTGTCCAAATACACACATCCCCATCCCAGCCACATGAAGCGACAACACAGTGAAGGACAGGGTGCGCATCAGCTACACTACATACCCCTTTGTGAGCTGTCACTTCTCCTATGCAATGTCCTCTTTTATAACCATAGTACACCACCTTTCCATCCGCCGAACCCGATACAACTATACTCCCTTTGTCGCAAAAACCGCAGCTTACAGCATAACCCCCAACTTCATGACCCCCCTCGAACCGCTTATATTTATTCAAGTTATACGGAGGTGTACATGAAAATATCGCGACGTAACCGCCATTGGATTGAGCGATAAAGTGCGATCCAGATGGGTGGACGGCAACTGACGGACACGTGTATCCTTCCATGTAGATTTGATTTGATACCGCTACAGCCTTTCTCACGTCCCACACTTTCAGCCCCTTATCAAGGCCCCTTACCCGCGTGCAATCTGCTGACGTCACCATGACCGATCCAGATGGATCGAAAGCAAGATCGAGAATATCTCCACCGTCCATTGGGAACTCCAGCACAGGCTTGGACGGCTCAGAAGAGGCAGCTGCTGTGCTACTGCTGTGATTGGCCGTGCTGCCTCCACTTGATATCTTGTTATTATCACCCCTGTTACAGTCACCCTCGATACAGTCACTTTGCCTGTTTCTCTCACCTCTCAGCATACGCATATCCCAGAATCTCACACTGCCGACCCGAAAATCCCCTCCTGTGGTGAAGATCTGTGGGTTGAAAGGATTCTGGCGGCAAACTGACATGGCGCCGCCCTGACACACCTCTGCTACTGTAGCTCCTGATTCCACGTCAGCAACTCGCACTGTAGCATCCAGGCTGGCTGTCAGGAGCTGGGTGGCGTTGTTCGTCCACGACGAGTCTTTCACTGCTGCCCGGTGACCGTGAAACACCCTAACTGGGCAGAGGGGAAAAGTTTCCACGGAATCTGCCCGTTCTCCTAGGCTTTCTTCGAAAGGACTCCACACTTTGACTGCCCCATCCATCCCTGCTGACGTCAGCAGATGGCCGTTCTGTGGGGACCACCTGACACACGTGGCAGGACGTGAGTGGGCTGACTGGATCCTAAGAGATTGGGAGGAAAGCAGGGAGATATGGGGAGATGGTGGGGGGGTGAAGATAAGGAGAGATGGAGGGGGGGGGAGAGAGATAGGGGGAGATGAGAGCAAAAATCAGGAAAGATAAGGGGAGACAGTAGGAGACAGGGGGGGATAATGGGAGATCAGGGAAAACGGGGGATTATGGAAACAAAGTAACGTTTCAACGGGAACATAGGGTGGGAATTGGGGAATATAGAGGGGTCCGGAGAGATGGGGAGTTGGGATGGGAGTGTTGGGATGGGAGGGAAGGGGAGGGGGAGGGTGGAGAAGGAGAAAGCCCACCGGCACGTCAGGCGCTTCGGCGAGTTTGAGTCACCTTCAAACAATACAAGGCGTGGGGGAGGGAAGGGGGGAAGAAGCGGGAGAGGGGAAGAAGCGGGAAAGGGGAAGAAGCGGGAGGGGGGAAGAGGCGGGAGGGGGGAAGAGGCGGGAGGGGGGAAGAAGCGGGAGAGGGGAAGAAGCGGGAGGGGGGAAGAAGCGGGAGGGGGGAAGAAGCGGGAGAGGGGAAGAAGCGGGAGGGGGAAAGGGGAGGGGGGAAGAAGGGGGGAAACTCACCGGCACATCAGGCGCCGCGGCGCAACGAATTGCTCAGCAGCAGCGCCTTCTTGTTCAGCCGCGGCGTGGCGGATCCAGTCCGGCACGTCCGGGAGAGCTCCCTCGCCGTACGCGTTATGAGACGTCTCATTACCCGCGTGTCGTTTCCAGTGGGGCGCGCTTGGGAGAGCTCCCCTGCCATACGCCGCGGTTTCCCGCGTAACGATTTCCTCTGAGATTTTGTGAATCAGCTGCCCGGAAGTGGATACGTTCTTTTTCTGCCCGTCCATCCTCAGTCGCTCCCGCTTCGACACGTAGCGCCCAGGAAGCGGGATATCATCAGTCGCGTTTTCGGCCGCCCCATGTACCCCCTCCAGCTGTCTCCCCGCTCCTGCTCCAGCTTCTCGTGACCTCTTCCCGTGAAAGCCGCGCATGACGCTTCTACGATCTGGATTTTGACAGCCTAGTCTGCAAATTGTAGAATTTGGGATAAATTCTGCTCTGGATGATCGGGACCTTCAACCAAAAACTCTTGAACTCTTATACCGAACCGAGAATGACGTAACTGCGCAAAGACGAGGACAGAGGGGTGAGAATTGGTCCCACGCTGCATCGGCGAAAGCACTACCGGGCTTGTGCGGGTCTCCACAATTGCGTCCGTCAGTGGTTCAATCCAGTTCCGCTTCGAACTAATTTCGGTACCCTGTCAAAGTTGGGCTGATGCCGTGAGTAAAAAATAACTCAGTTTCCTGCGATGGGGGCGACGAGAGTGCCCGCGACGGGGATTGGTGAGGCCAGGTTACCCCCGTGTTGCCTGGCCCTCCGCCTAGGGCTGCACTGATCGTCGATGCCCTAATTGGGGGTCGATCTCGATCTCCCCAATTTCGAGCCCGCGGCTAGATTGGTTGGGAGAGTTCGTTGCAGTGGTGGCTGAATCACTAAACGCGCTCATGGAAAAAAACGGATATATCAGCAGTGCGATGCGAGGTGGGAGTGGCAGTGTTGGCTGGAAAATTTGAGGAAATCCGAACAGCGAGGTATCATTACTTATGAGCATGGGATGGAAACTGTGGTTTTTCTTCCGAGGCTGACAGCAAAAATTTCCCATACAGGAGGACACTGGGATCAAGGGGGAGAACGACGAAGAGACTCGCGAAATCTTGATAGAAAATTCGCCGATATCGCCACCGCGCTAGCGAAGTTTACTGGCTGGAAGTTGCTGCTTGCGACAACCCGTGTTTAGATAGAGGGGTCAGCGCGTTCGTTTACAGCTGGTTCTGTGCAGTTTATTTTGTTGCGACACGGTTTGAAACGGTAAACCTGAGTAACCGCTGTGCACTGTCTGGACTCTGGAACCTTTTTTTCACCACAACGGATGAACTGAACGAATGTGACAGACGAACGCGCTGACCCCGCCCCCACCTTTGAGAGGGGGGAAACTCCGTAGCCGCCCCAACCATGGCATACGCTTTTCAGAACGAAACCTCGATAACTCGGTTTGTGGACACCATTGGAGACAATCTAGCTCTTCATGCACGGAATTCTGATACATACACTTTCTACAACGTGACAAGGGCATTCTAGTGACCTGATCCAATAACATGACCACTTTGCCTTACACCCTATAAGAGCACCACCCTAAGCCAATCAATTGAATCCAAGGCGAGCCAAATATTACATCAATTTCTTTACCTCCCCACAAAGTGCGCCCGAATTTCTTTGTCAGAATGTTATGTTTTGTCTAGCCTGCAGTGGGGTACTCAATAGTGAGTACAGCCCAATTTTAGGGTTTGCTATATGTACTCAACTGCTTGCTAGTGAAACCCCTCTCATTCTCATTTCTTAACATTCTTGGGTAACCAACTTGAGGAGGAACAGGTAAGGTGTCAAACTGTTATAATGTTTATATTGTGTAGGCTGTAGTGGGGTACCCCAGAAGGGGTACAACCCAATTAGGGTTAGTACTTGTACCAACTTTCTTCTCAATGCAATCATTCCCTCAACTAGTTTCTGACATGGTTTAAGGACAAGTCCTGTTCCAGGACCATTTTTTTTTAGGGCCCACCGATTAGTTCGCTGCCCGTAGCGCCCTATCCCACCAGTCGCGCTGCCCTGCCCTGCCCTGCCTGTCGCGCTGCCCTGCTGGCTGCGCGCTGCCCTGCCCTGCCCGTCGCGCCGCCTAGCTTGCCGTGCGCCGCCCTGCCCTGCCCGTCGCGTCGCCCTGCCCTGCCCGCGCGCCGCCCTGCTGGCCGCGCGCCGTCCTGCCCAGCCCGCGCACCGCCCTGCCGCCTGCCGCGCCGCCCTGCCCTGCCCGCGCGCCGCCCTGCTGGCCGCGCACCGTCCTGCTCTGCCCGCGCGCCGCCCTGCCGCCTGCCGCGCCGCCCTGCCCTGCCCGCGCGCCGTCCTGCTGGCCGCCGCGCCGCCCTGCCCTACCCGAGCGCCACCCTGCTGGCCGCCGCTCAGCCCTGCCCTGCCCGTGCGCCGCCCTGCTGGCCGCCGAGCCGCCCTGCCCTGCCCACGCGCCGCCCTGCTGGCTGTCGCGCCGCCCTGCCCTGCCCGCGCGCTGCCCTGCTGGCCGCCGCGTCGCCCTGATCTGCCCACGCGCGCTTCCCTAGTGCCCGCGCGCTGCCCTGCCCGTCACGCCGTCCTGTTGTGTACGTGCCCCCCTGCTCGTCACGCGCCACCCTGCTTTGCCCACTATGGTTACTCTCAGCGTTCTCACATTCGATCATGAGGGCCGTCCGATCCAGTTCGATACGTGGCTCGATGACTTACAGCTGTACCTACTGAGCGATTCTAGAGACAGCGTTTCGTTGTTTGACCACACGTCAGGAGCCTCTCTCGCCCCTCCCAACACAGCTGACAGTGCGACTCGCTCACAGTGGCTTACCCGTGACGCTGCTGCTCGCTTTGCCGTTCGCAATCACCTGCCGTTAGCCGAACGCACTCACTTTGGCCAGCATAAGACTGCTAAAGCGCTATACGACGCTGTAGTCGCTCGTTACTCTTCCCCTGCCACTGCTGCTCTCGGCCACCTTATACTGCCCTACCTGTTTCCCGAGCTGTCAGCCTTTGCTACAGTCGAGGACCTCATCACCCTCCTTCGCACAAGCGACACTCGCTACCGCGCTACCATCAAAACCGAGTTCCTAGACAAGAACCCGCCCCCGATGTACATCACTCTCTACTTCATAGTCACCCGCCTCCCTGACTCTCTTCGCGCAGTCAGGGACCACTTTCTCGCACTTGACCGCACTGTCGACCTGCTCGAGAAGCACCTCCTTGCAGCTGAGACTAGCATAGTCGCTGTAGGTGCTGCTCATGGCACTCCTCGCACACCCTTCTTTGAGGGGTGTTCCCCCTCCCCCCTTGCCCCCTCCTACGCTTCTGCTGCTGCTGTTGACATCCTTGGTACTGAGGAGGTCAGGGCTGCTTCTTCTCCTAGTAGGAAGCGCCGCAGCGGCAAGGGCAAGGAAGGAAAGAGTGGTGGAGGTGGCAGCGGGGGTGGTGGTGGTGGAGGCGGTGGAGGCGGTGGAGGTGGCGGAGGTGGCGGTGGGAGTGGTGGCGGGAGTGGGGGCTTCGGTGGCAGCGGTGGTGGCTGCGGTGGGAGTGGTGGTGGCGGTGGTGGCGGCAGTGGGAGTGGTGGCGGCGGCAGTGGTGGCGGTCGGGGTGGAGCTGTTCAGAGGGGAGGTTCTGGCGGTGGCCAGAGGCAGCAGCAGCAGCGTCCGAGCGAGACCCCTACGCCCCAGCAGCTTCGTGAGTGGTTTGCTCAGTGTGGGACGCCTGGGGGTAGTGTTCGCTGCCCGTATGTCATTCGCACAGGTGACCGCGCTGGTGAGACATGCGGGAAGTTTCACACACAGCACCGCTGCTTCTCCCGCCTTGACGACGCTTGGCGCGAAGAGTTTGGCGACGAGGCTAAGCGCCCCCGCTGGCTAGAGCTGCTTAGGTCTGGTGCTGAAATCTTTGCTCTTAACTATGATGCTATCCTTGCTGCCATGTATGCCTTGGTTGTTAGTGCTGAGGGTGACTGTTACCTATGTGTGCCGCCCGACCCAGGTATAGAGGCTGCTGCTCTAGGTGCTAGTGAGTCTGCTCTCCCTGGTACTGCGCCTGCTGAGGCCTTGCACACCTTCACGCTTGACTTAGGTGCTTCCCGCTGTTTCTTTCGCGACAAGACCACACTCACTGCACTCCCTGCACCTGTTCCATTCACACTGGCTGACCCCTCAGGAGGCCCAGTTCTTGTACATTGCACCACTATTTTCCCGTGTCTAGTGGTTCCGTCTGGCTCACTGTCAGGTCTTCACCTCCCCTCGTTCTCTATGAACTTGGTGAGTACCGTTGCCCTCCAGGATGCGATGGTCACTACCACCACTACTGGGGGTCAGCGTGTGGCGATCTGCACATGTACACGGACGGGCCGACACCTAGCCACGTTCACCCGTCGGCCTGGGTCGAGTCTGTACACACTGACTACTCAGCCTGCTCAGGTAGCTGCTTCTGGTCAAGTGTCCGCGCCAAGTTAGGTAGCCGCCCCCTGTTCGTGTCGCCTCCTGTCGTACCAGACTCTCCTTTGGCACCACCGCCTTGGTCACCCCTCCCTGCCACGCCTTCGTGGCATGCACTCCCACCTCCTTGTTTCTGGTCTTCCCAAGTCTCTGCCTCCCCTCCCGCCCTCGCCTGCCCCACCCTGCCTTCCTTGCGCCGAAGGGCGGCAGCGCGCCGCTCCTCACTCCTCATGGTTTCCCCCGACGACTGCTCCCCTTCATACTCTCCACATGGACGTGTGGGCCCCAGCCTGCGTCAGTGGACAGGGCCACGAGCGCAACTTTCTGCTGGTTGTTGACGACTACATGCGTTACACCACAGTCTTCCCCTTGCGCAGCAAGGGTGAGGTCCCTGGTGTCTTGATTCCTTGCATCCGCGCAGTCCGTCTCCAGCTCCGCGAGCGGTTCCGCGAGAACCTTCCTGTCCCTCTTCCGGCCTCCCCGCTGCAAAATGGGATTGCTGAGCGCTGCATTGGCTTAGTCATGGAGGTCTTTCGTACCTCCATGATCCATGCGGCTGCGCCTGGCTGGCAGTTTTACCACCCCACCTTGCGCCGTGTCCTGCTCTCTCAAGATGTCACGTTTGAGGAGTCGGTTCCCTTTTACCGACTCTTCCCCTACCGCACTGCCCCTCTCCCCCCCCCCCCGCCGCTCTTCCTCACTCCAGGCCCCCCTCCGGTAGACCCTCTTGTCAGAACATTAGAGCTTATACATTTGTGCAGGCTGTAGTGGGGTAGCCCATAACGGGTACAACCCAATTAGGGTTAGTACTTGTACCCAGCTGTTTCATAGTTCTTTCATTCTCGTTCGTTACTTTGATATGGAATCAGAGCAGGTTCCTTGGGCACACCACCTGCTACGCTGCTAGTACCCCCCTAGGCCCG